AAAAAAAAAAAAAAAAAAAAAAAAAAAAAAAAACAGACACATTTCCATACATGAATACACTATTGATACATTAATATATTACATGATTACTGATTACTACGAGATCACAAACAATAGTTTTGTGCACACCGCTGTCGGAATGACAATATCGTTTTAATAAGCGATTAACGCTATCGCTTGAATAATTTATTTACAGTTGCATTTACACAAAATACCTACAATTTCTTTCCTGCGTATTTACATTAAATTTACGATACAAATAAAATATATCATACGTTGTAATTCGATGGTTTCATCATTTTTTTACGCCTGTGCGGGCACTGTAACGTTAGTGGCACAGAGATCAACCATCAGCCATACTTCACCACGCGACTGAATAGCGCATCATCCTTCAAGACGTGATTTATCAAATACACAGAATCGTAAAATGCAGAGTTTGGAACAGCATTAAGCCATTGCCCCTCGTACACGGTATACGTTTCTGCCGTTATAATTGACACGTTGCGAAACAGGTATATTTTGTATACCTTTAAATCAGATTAAAATGACAATTACGACATAGTGTCGGACATTAAACGTAGCGAGTGTTATGAGTATTATGATGAGGTTTTATGTTCGCGTATAAAATAAATAAACTTTCCATTCATATTGATCGGTTAAATTGATACAGCGTGTGTAAACTAAATTTTTACAGAATGTAATGTCCGAAATTCCCATAATGAAATATTCGTGAAATAGTTTCTAGAATGTGAAAACTGTGTTCGTACAAAAACTTAACAATGATGCGTTTTTAACTTTAAACCACCTTTCTTTTTTTTTTTTTATTAATATATTGTCTTCGATGTATTACGCTATCTTATCACGGTAAAGTTCTAGAACATATTTTAGAAACCATTAGGATTTGAAAATCCAATTTGATTTTCATGAAAACTTTCTAGATACTATCCAACATTTGCCTAACGGTGGATCACCAAGTACAAGTTTTACATTTATTCATCCGTACAATTCGTTAAATTGTTCTATTCAGCCATCGCTTGCGTGCTTGTATTTATACTTTGTTTCTTCACCAAGGTGCTCTTTCTGTTTATAAATATAATCGAAACGAACAATTCCGTTAACCACGTATGTCGTATTTCGTAACATAATTTCGGCAAGATTTCCATGTATAATTCTATATGACCACAGTGAACCAGCACCGAAAAGATATATAATACAAGAAAGAAAAATCAATAAAAATATGTTCAATTTAAAAAAGTGCTAAAAATACAATATCTTATAAAACTATAACGGTTTATATGGCTTACTTAAAGCTTTAGTAGAAATTATGTATGCAAATGTTATTTAATTTGTAATAAACAAACGAGACATTTGTTGGTCATCTTCATAAAAAAAAAAAAGAAATCGAGAAATTGCCTGAGCATCAAATTTATGAATATTTTAATATTATTAACTATATCTTAGAAGTTTTCTTATTGTGAAATAAGCCTTTTGGCATGCATCTCAAAATATTTCGTTTTTGAAAGTATTTAATACAGTCGTATTTACCTTAAAAACAGTATACAGCAAATCCTACATAATCCATTGAGGTAAAACAAATAGCTGTATATAATATCGGTGTTCTTATTAATTTTTTCTCTTTTTTTTTTTTTTTTGTATTAACAACAGTGCACAAATAAATCTAGTGTAGTGTTACGCGAGAGCAGATGCTGGTAGGGAACTGTGCTTAGGTTTTGTCTTATTTAGAAAAACCTTTATATAGCCATTGAAATCTGCACTCACAAGAACATGACCGCCACAGCCTTTAGTACGCTGCTCGACCACAGGATCGACCGGAGGAACATCTACGGTTGAACTACCTAGATTTTTTGCATCTTCTTTACCTTCCCACTGCTCTCTTTCTTCAATTTGTTTAATAATACTATCTGGATTTGGTGCAAATACTGCGCATGTTACTACAGCGTTATGAGCTTTTATACCTTCCCAGAAGTCATTTCGGTCTCTACGTACGCTTGAAAATTTGGAGTAATCATGATGAGTTTTCCAAATATAAATGCATTGATTTTCCGAACCACTGACTATATATTGTCCGTCAGGACTAAAGCTTGCCTTAATTTGACTACTGACGTTAACGTAACCTTTGTATTTGCATGATAAATTCAAATCTCGCAAATCATACAAGCGTATTCGGCTATCATTTGATGTAACTAAAATCTTATCTTCTCCCGGCATTGGTTCGATGCCGCTAATTTTTCTTCCTGTTGAATTTTTACCTCTTGTTGATCGTACGTGTATCTGCGTGTGATACTTTAACTGATCGGTGTTGTAAAATATACATCGGCCATCGTAAGAACCAACCACTGCGAATTTCCCATTTTGACAAAAGTTTGCCGCAGTAATTAATTTAGTATGTCCATCGACTTCATTCCACACAGCTACTTTTTTGTCCGGAATATTCCATAGTCGAAGTTTACCGTCCAAAGATCCAGAGAGGAAATAACGATCATCACGAGGATGAAATACAATTGCTGTAACGAAATCAATATGCTGGAAGCAACATAAGCATTCCTTTCGTGATATATGCCAAAGCCGCACAGTTTTATCCATCGACGACGATAAGACAAAATAATTTTTAGACCATGAAACGTCGAGCAAATCCGAAGTATGTCCGATATAAGTGCAAAATGGTTTTGGCATAAAAGGACTTTTTGTCCCTTCTATTTCACTAAAGGCACTAGCCACGACATTGGGATCCTCCATAGACTGTTGCGAAACCAAAGACTCTTGGGAAGGTGTTGGACTAACTTTTTCAGCATTGTATTTAGTTCGCATATCTTGAAAATATGTAAAGGCATCCCGTAAAACCCAAATTCTTAGAACTCGATCTTGTCCTGCAGTAGCGAGTAATCGTCCGCAAACTGAAAATTTCATACACCAAACAGGGCCCACATGTTCGCCACTTAAATCTTGAACATGCTGTAAACAACTAAATTCATATGGTCCTTTGTGACTATTAGAAGCTTTCAGTTTTATGTATTGCTGTTCACCAGGATATACTTCATCTACTATATCCATAACATCTTCCTTATGTCTTGCATGCGATACTTCTTGTGCAATAGATTTTGCTTTGTCCATTGTTTTCTTAACGGTAGATCCTAAAAATCGTTTTAACTTCTGCGTTCTTTTTCGAACTCTGCCAACAGATACATCTTCATCTGGTGGTATACTAGACATTTTACTATCAACACTTTCCTCATCACTTTCTTTTTCTTTTTCTAGACTAGAATTACTTATATATTCCGAAGTGAGTCTCATAATATGAAGTGACAAAGGATTGATACACTGTGGTAATTTATCTTCTGCTATACTTAATGGTACTCTTTCACCGGTATCTAAGTTTAGAACAGTTACTTGCTCCAAAATTTCCTAAAGATAATTTATGTATTATTATTACTAGTATTCAAATATAAAAAGAAAGAAACATCTATTAAACATTTATTATTTTCACGTCAATAACATACCATATCAGTTAGTCGTTTCCCAGAATCTGTTCTTGTTCTTACAAACATATTTAATTGTTGAACCATATCTTGATCACCTGCTGATTTTCGTCTTTCTTTTGAACCTTGAGGACTTAAGCCTGTTAGTTTATGAGGACCTAATGAATAACGGCCGATACTGTTATTAGACATGGATCCCAGTGGACTACTAGACTTCTCATTTGATCTCACGTTCATTAATTCAGCTTTCATTTTTTCCACTCTTACCAATTCTTCGCTCGATGGGCCTTCAGCTTTTGATTTATCTTCATCCTAGAATAGAAATAATGATGATATATAAATATAAAACTATATATTATATTTTACAAGTACAATACTACAGACTTGTGGTTTAACAACATATTGTCCCTTCGTTGCAGATCGAATATCAAGAGAATGTTCAAATTCTCTAGTAATGGATTCAATAGTACTTGCTGGACTCGGTAATGGCGAAGTGGATAATGCTGATTCTGTCGTAGAAGGCTAAAATTATAAATCTACATTTATTTGTCTTGTTTCAAATCACTTTTTAATAATGTAGAAAATATTAATAAATATTGTAATAAATAATATTAATAAATATCGTACTGCAAGATCAGAAGGTGTTTGAGCTTTTGACTTTTTTTTACGTCTTGGTGGCGCAACAGGTATTCCAGCCATAGTAATATCTTCGTTTGACTTTCCATTATTCTTTGTACTAGCGATGACATCAGGTTCTTGAAGCATAACAGTCTTATCATTTTGTGAGTGAGAAGCATAATTGGACCTACTGTTAACAGAGGATTCCTGAAGGATATCCCCTGATAACGTAAGGATGCTGGAGGACTGGGACACCTTACCAGATGCTGTGTCCTCGTCTTTGCTTGGGATACTAGCAATGGAGGACATCTGGCTTTCACGGGTAAGGATGCCAGAAGAAGGACACTGAGTTACATTTGGTGCAAGCGTAACAGACGCAGTGTCCCCAACTCCAGCTAAAATTCGACCCACTCGTCCTAAAGATGTTATGCTTTGTAAACTAAGAGTATCATGTTCTATAATCCTAAATGGATGAGTTGTCTTTGAGGGAGTGGGATAAACACCCTCGATAGATGATGTTTGACTATCTGGAGGGGAACTATTAATTGGAATATCATCATCTTCTGTTTGCATACGTTGTCTCAATTCACGAAACCTTCTTCTGCCTAGACTTTTATCCGTACTAGAATCCTTTCCATCCTCCTCCTGTTCAAATAAGTAATTTTTGTTAAATATCAAAATAATATTATCAAAATAATATAGTATTTTAATGTTGACAAATTCACTTACACTTTTATCTTTATTAACTATACATTCTATTGTTACATGTTCCTTTGGTTCTACAATTGGTTTAGGTTGAGTAGGTTTCACAAAAACATCATCGTCCATTTTTTTAGAGAACTCTGACGTGTCCTTGTTTTGTATTTCAATGCCGGTAGAATCACGTTGTTTACTTTTTCTATAAAAATCAGATATCTAATTTGCAAAACAACTCTTGAAATAACATATGAAATTTAAACTATATTTGATAGAATTTTAACAAGATATTTTAAATTTACTTTAAATTTCTAGTACTATAATTCTATTAATATATCAATACACATATTCATATTGATATAATATGATAATATACTATAATAATGCAATATGATAATATAATAATAAAAAGATAATAAAAAGATAAATAATAATTATAAAGATAAGAAAAAGATAATAAAAAGATAATATAATAATAAAAAGATAATAAAAAGATAAAATAATAAAAACATTTAAAATAAATATTTAAATATTTATCTATTAAAACTAAACACAAAAATACAATTACGTCGAGATGAGTGAATGATTTATTAAACAGATTGATAGTTTTTCAAATGTAACTTGTAACTAATAAAATTTTTTTCAGAATCTCTAAAATTATAATACTAATGATTAAACTCATGGAAAATTTTCGAACACCAACCCTTAAATAGCTGCATACGATCATACGAACGACAGATATGTGTTCAAAATCAAACCTAACCAAAAATATTATTTGAGAACACAATACGACAATAAGAATTAGATACATATAAATGATCTGGAACAAACTTCTGTATCTACAGAAACTTGAAGCGAAATATGACGAGTCAAAAGAGAATGAAAATTGCAAGTTAAATTTTATCGTACTTTATTTTCCAACAGTTTCCAAATATTTATGGAATTTATGCAGGAATATCTTTTATTGCGCGTGCAAGGTATAGAGAGAAACGAGATATATAGGATTTCGAATGGAATCATTTAATAAACAAAATTACCGTGCATTATGAAAAGTATCATCCTCCGCATCAAAAAATTCTTCAGAATCGCTGCTTCCAGACATTGTCGTCTGCACTGAGTGATCGGTAATAATATCCTTGTCCGCATCGGTACTGTCAAGGCACGTCACGCGTTTCGCAAAATCGCGAACACTAGGGCCAGATAGAAGCGGCCACAGGATCGTAAGCGGCACAAAGTCATGATTTGACTTCTAATAGCGGTTACACAAGTGCACAGTTTTGTGCTGAATGCGCTGGTGCGTATTTCAATTATCCTAGTTCTTTCAAACGTAAATTAACGATACGAAAGTGGTAACACTGCACGACCCCATCCAATAAAGAGGCTGCATCATGGAAAAGAGTTGTACGATTGGTGAACAACGAATTTGCAGCCTCGAACTCGTGCAGCTGCCCGCTCGCCAGCATGCCTGCTGCAAAGGAGGCGAGCCGTCACACAAAAGCAAGATGGAGGATCTCACAGTCGAAGTATGCGGCGAAAACGGAGCATATTATAAGGTTCGTTCTGTGAAAAGTATACAAAAAACAGGGCGGAAGATTGAGGCCGTGGATAGATCAACTTACGGCCCATGGCGCGGTTCTAATCTCACAAAAGAGACGCCCGTACTTCGCGAAAGCGCGGCCCTCAAATGTTCGCGAGGTAACGCGGCTTCCTCCGACGCCATGTCTCGTTTGACAGGGCGTGATTTTCGTCAGCTTTTGATGTTGCGATACGTTTCAATGCTCTTCCGATTCACAAAAACGCATACCCTTAATACCGGAATTATAAAAACACTGCTCTTTACCGTACTCCGAAAGCAACGCGATATTGTATCTGAATATCTTACGCCACTCGTTATACCTGTGATTCCCCAACAAATAAATTGATACGCTTTATGTCTCGTTTTTTCAGGCCTTTGTCACAGACGTCTTTGAAGACGAGGTTCTAGTAACGTTTGAAAATGAGTAAGTATATTTTCCACTTCTCAAGAAAAATTTAGGTGCCAGTATATATGAATGTTCACCCTAATACTCTGTGCTAATAACAGTGTAATCTTTTGAGCACAAGAATCATATTATTTTTATCAACTATAAAAGTTTAATATTTCTAATATCTGCATACGTCAACAGTTTAAAAAATGGCATCATTTCTATGAATATTATTTGTTATTGTTGTATGATCAATCATAGCTTTTTTTTACATTCCTTCATATATTATTTTATTCAATGATAAAAAACATATTAAATACTTTTAAATGTTAAAAAGAATATTTGAAATTTAATATATGTGATTATACATATTTATAAATATAAAAATATTATATATAAGTTATATGTTTTCTTCGTTTCTTTGTTTAATATAAAACCAAATAATTTTATTTTGAATACATCAAAGTATATAATACACATCAAAGAATTATATGTGATAGTGTAATATTATGATTCTAAATAACAATTAGTATGATATATTAATAATATTTATTAACAAAAGAGTAATGGTAATAATAACATTATTTTATCAAATCATAATTTCTAAGAATAGATATATGTGAACATGTTTTTATCAGAAATTGTTTATAAATGTATATTGGTTAAAACACATCTTATACATAAAATTATGCAATGTTGTTTAAGGATAATTAATAAGTAATATTTAATAAAATATATTTTATATTTTAGTTGGCAACCGGAATCAAAGTTTCCATTTGCTCAAGTACGTCTACCTCCAACAGATGGTCAGAAACCTGAATTTTCTGAAAACATGGAAATTGAGGTATTTTCTAGGTCCAATGAGCACGAAGCCTGTGGATGGTGGAAAGCTATCATTAAGGTTAGTAAAAAAGTTCATTTACAAGATTTTATAATTTCAATTTTTTCTTCTTTTGATTCTTGTTTCAGATGAGTAAAGGAGGTTTTCAAGTAGTTGAATATTCGGGATGGGAATGCTCTTATACTGAAATTGTAGCTAGTGAACGACTGAGGGCAAAAAATCCTAATCCCCCCATCGATAAAAATACATTTCACAAGATCGAAATAGAAGTACCTGAAGATCTAAGAGAATTGTATGTATCAAGTTCAGGTTATTTTCTTTCGTAGAAAAGTAACAAATATTTTAAATACAATCTGATCTAATATATATGTATATATATAGTGCCAAAATGGAAAATGCACACAAGGAATTTCAAAAAGCGATAGGGGCGGCAGTGTGCCGATATGTGCCTGAACGGGGAGTATTGCTGGCCATCTCCCGTCATGAAAATTTACATCGTCACAGTAGCATGCTCCAAGAAATGCACTTCAGAAACTTATCGCAAAAAGTGAGTTACAAAATTAAATTTGATATTTTTTAACTTATACTTTATGATGCCATAAAGTTATTCAAAATACTTTAAATAACATACAAAATTTTAAAACATGTAAAACATATTTTGCATCTTGCATGTTGCAGGTATTGCTTTTGAAAAGAACAGAAGAAGCAGCACGTCAACTTGAATCAACTAAACTTCAAACAATTGGGGGGTAAGTAGAAAGATTAGAGTTGGTGTTGCAATTAAAAAAAAATCTTGTGACATTTAAATACCTGCCCTTATCCATACACTGTCCTGGTTACCATCCTGTCTGTGGTTTGCATTTACTGGCAGAAAAAATTCACAAGATTTCCAATCATTAATCAATATGTTTGCTTCAACATCATATAATTTTCATGAATGTTATGTAGTCACATTACAAATGTTTATTATACATTTCCTCTAGTTTTCACATATTACAAGTGTGATTGTGTATAAAATATTTAATAAATTTTATATGCAAGGTTTTTCAAAGTTCATACAAATCTTTGTGTGTTAGTTATCTTATTTTACATACTTTTGCCAATCACAAGAGCACGATGTGCATATAGTAATAAATTTGCACATAATGTGTTTTTTCATCTGTCTTTAGTGAATGTCACTTTGTGCTGACAAATTCTTTTGTTTATCTCATAATATTACTTGTTACACATAGATTGATGCTATGTTTTTCATTGTTTGCTGATTATAATCATTAGTTATATATAATATAATTAATTTAATTTAATCTACATGATGCGTATTTTAACTCATTTTACTATGATAATAGTTTTAATTTTTTAATCAATAAATCGTTATTAATGTTTATAAATCAATAAAAGTGCAATTTTTAATTGCATAAAGGAATTTAAGTATTAATCATTCAAAGTAAAAGGAATATTCAATAGCATTTTCACGATCTAATTTACAACAAATGTCTTTTATTACAATTTATTACTCATGATTACATAAAATTAAAATTATTTCTAATAATTAAATTTGTGTACTATAAAGTACAAGTTAGATATGCATGTACTTGCAAACTTATATATACTTATATACATTAATCTGAAATATCATATATAAAAAATTTTAATTATTTTTTCTGTCATGTAGCATATATTATAGTGAATTAATTTGAAATAAAATTCATTCAGTATTAAAATACTTGTACATTGATAATCATATAAAGAGTCACAGATATATTTGTAGTTTTTAGATGCTTTACGTGTTCCTGCAGCAAACAATGTCATTATATGTTTCAGCTACTAATACATGTAATTAGGATAACTTTAAATTTTTTTAAAGTTATCATTTCATACTTTTAAACGCTGTAATTATTCTTAATAAAATTATATTTTTAGATTGAGATACACATTCCTCCATACATTCAGATAACGGGTTTGTATAATTCTTGATTATTGATTGAATAATGATATTTAATAAATCTTAAGAAGTTAGTAGAAATTGGGGAGAAATTATTTAATGCTAACACTGGATACTAATTCATTTTTACACAGGTATGTTTATGAATATCTAATATGCATAAAATGAATATGCAGTGTTATGTTTTATTTTCAAATTGTAAGTGTACTAACATACATATAAAAGTAATGCTTTAATATTATTTTTGTCTCGAATTGATACAAAATATCTGAGTACTTATTTTATATAAATATTCTAAAAAGTAAATTTTTATAAAACATTACAAATTTATTAATAAGGCGCAAACAGACAGAATGGCAGGGACACAGGATAGGGCCATCTTATATATGAATTTCCAATAAGTTACACCAAGAGTTTCTTTCTCATTTCAGCAAATTTAGATCTTCAAACTTTATATATCAGCGTGTCTCAGACTTTGAGGCAGGAGTGAAAACAAATTCAAGGTGAGATCACAGCAGCGTGGTTTAGATTTAAGTTTAGCTTATTGTATGATAAATTACACAGCTGCATTTTTCAAATGAAAAATGAAACTACACTATAAATGTGCATGCTTCGGCGTTGTGTAGATCATTCACTTAAATTCAAATGCTTTAAGTACACTGACATACAAAATTTATTATTTACTTCTTTTTCTATTTATTATGTGTTATGTAGTAAAATTTTCCGTGATTGATAAAATAGTGAATAAATATAAACGTGTAGCTGTGATCTGTT